GATCATGCCTTCCCTGGCCTGAAGAGGACGGTCACGCCGGACGATAATACCAGCTGTGGTAGAGGCACCTGGGTGTTATTTTACAACACAGCAGCCTTCTGAGGGTGGATCCTCTCAAATGAAGGTTCCCTCGGATCGCTACAGTCCTTGATGGGTTTGCATGTATGCGTGAAACAAGCATCTGGAAACAGCGGGGTGGCTCTACACTGTTAGCCTTAAAATTAAAACAGCCAGGTATTATACCAGCAAAAGATGGATTTACCAGGGAAGAGCAAAGACTTGCGAACCAGAAGACGCCAACTACCGGGACAAAGCACAGGTGCCGGCGTTTATAGAGGAAAGCGGAAGTGGGAAGGCTGTTACAAACAAGTCCATTGGAGTAAACTGGCGGTGGGAAGTATCAAGGCCTCTCATTGGCTGATCTGTGCGGGTCTCCCATTGGCTGGACTGTCGCTGGTGGGAGAGGAGGGTAAGTAAGCCTTTATTCCTCCATGAGGGTATCCCAATGTCAAGTAGTATCCCTGTGCAGGGTCGTCTCTTCCTCTCGAGTTTGCAGCTGACGAGGAGTGGCTCGTGGGTGGGGAGCGAGAACACCTGTCCAGACCTCCTGACCCCATTTTAGCGAGGTTTCCCTTTATGAATTTTCGCTGCACGTTGGTGAGGCTGCTTGGCTGTCTGGCAGGCCGTGGTGAAGGGATGGAGGCAGAGAAGCCGCAGGGTTGGTGGGCGACTGGCGGCTGAGAACAGCACAAAGGCCAATTATTTTACAGTCTTTGGCGGTGGGTGACCTAGGCCTTTTAAAAACAGGGACAGGGATGGGGCGCCTGGGTGGCTCAGTCAGTAGGGCATCTGACTCTCGGTTTTGGCTCAGGTCATGATCCCGGGTTCTGGGATGGAGCCCAGAGTCGGGCTTTGTGCTTTGCAGGAAGCCCGCTGGAGATTCTCTCCCTCTGTCCCTCCCCTGGCTCACACACTTTTTCTCAAAATCTTTTAAAAAGAAAAAAACAGGGAGATGTATGAATATCTGTGTTATGTATCGATATGTTGAGTAATCACACACACACACACACACACACACACACACAAGCTCTCTTGTTCACACTGTCAATGTACACTTCCTCCACCCACCTCCGTGAAGTTTTCTTCCTCTAGAAGGCTGCTTGGGGTTTCAATGGAGGAGTTCAGGAAGGGGTGGTGAATGCTTCAGGGTAGGAATTGATTGGGCGACTCGGAGCCAGAACCTCCCAGAGATCAGAAGCCTCCCAGAAACCTTGGCCCTGGCTTTTGGGGACAGAGACAGGGACAGACGAGAAATGCACAAATGCGCGTCTCACCAACATTCCAGGACAGCTGAGGTCCGGGGTCCAGCCCACACCATGAGGCTTAGTGACAGGAGGCTGCGTACATTCAGCCTCCTAGTCACATCCTGAGTGGCTGAGCCCTCAGGGCCGCTGGCCTCAGTCACTGCTCCTCCTGCCCAAACACCACAAGGGAGACAAGAATTGGCTCTTTTTTTGTCCAGTCTTTATTTACAGCAAAGTACATAGTATGTGGTCATTTTTGTAACTACTAACAATAAAGGCAGGGTGGTAGAAAGGAAGGAGGAAGAGCAAGCATCTGAAAGAAAGAAAAAAAAAGCCTACGTCTTTATTTAGCTACTCACCCTGTTCCTGAGGCAGGACCAGCTAGGCACTCACCGCCTCTAAGAGCAGCAAGGAAGCTGATCTAACACCAGCCACCTGGCCTAAGGAGGGCAGCACGGGGCTCAGAGACAAAAGATCGAAGGGGACTCTGAGCTCCAGACCAACCCCAGTGCTTTTCTCAACATGTTCTCTGCCTCGTTGTACCGGACACCAAGCCCGTTTCCCCCACTTCACCCTGAGACAGGGTGAAAGGGAGTGAGGGAAATCCAGCCGGTCCTCTCTGGCAACAGAGCCCTGCAATGCAGAACCTTCCCTAGCCAGCCTAACCAACGCGAGTCCTTGGTGCTGGAATCCTTGACAGGCAGGTACGAGACTCCAGTAGCCCTGCCAGAGGCTACTGCCTCCCTCCGCTGGCCTCAGGTGCTAGCACAGGTCAAGGCTGCTAATCAAGGGAGCAGAACAAGGACAGCAAAGGAGGGGATACAGAAACCGACTGGGCTCCAGTCCCTCCTGCTTCCCAACCGTGCCAAGGAGCACGAGAGCCTTCACAGCCTGACCTAGTGGCCTCATGAGAGACTGGCCGTCTGCCCCGGGCACAGAGACAAGTGTCCAGTGCCGAGCCCAGGCGAGGCAGGATGGCGGCATCCACATGACCACGGCAGCCAAGACCAGAGCGGGTTGTTGGAATGATGGGCTCTGAAGGAGGAACTGGAGACCTTCCCCTGCCACCCTCCCCTGGCCTGTCCTTCGGGGACCCCCTTGTCTGACCACTGCCTCTTCAAACGCCTACCCTATCCACCCCAAACCAAAGTTCCAGACACTCATGAGCTCCTCCTACAGCATCCAATCTCTCTGCCCCTACTGGCCTCAGGCTGCCCAAGAAAAAGAAACCTGGGTCAGCACAAGTTCCATTAGCATGAAGGAGTGTGAGGTCAGGCCTTCCCATGACACAAAGTGTGGATACTTGTTCCCTACACACTTGGTCTATGGGTAACACCTGGGCAGGGGCGGGGCAGCAGCAAGCACCACTGGGCAGCTCCGAAGCCACGGGACTCCCGCGCACACATGACCGACATCACCCCACCCTGCTTGCTGGTACCTCCCCGCTGGACCACAGAGAGGACCCAGCAGCCTCGGGTCATGGTTTCTGGCCCAATGGTCCCACCGCTGACTCTCCAGTGGAATCAGAGACCCATGACTCAAAATACCGAGTCCAGGATTTGTCACACAGAAAGCTCAAGTTCAGAGAGTTGGCTAAATACTGAGGGGGCCACACAGGGATGGAGTTTCTCATCCCTTCCTTGCCCCAGACAGTGTGTCACAGAACCAAGGGAGTTGTCAGCGTTGCCCAGTGGGCACAGCCCAGTGCCCCAAGCCAAGCCACCAAGAACTGGGGATGCTTTTTACCAGGAGGCAAGGCAGCCCTAGAGCAGTTTCCCAGCAACTGGGCTATTGAGAGACACTGGAGGCTTGGTCCCAACACCACAAGTAGTTGAGGAAGCAGGTGAGGACATCAAGGCTCAGAGATGAGAAGACTCCATCTTCCAGGGCAGTGGGACAGACAGCCAAGGCACTAAATGGTTTGGCACCTGGGAGCTTCAAGTAAAGTTGAATGTGCTACCCACTGAAAGGCCAAGGCTCCCCCAGACAGGGGTGGGCTGCCCCTGAGCACAGAGAGGCCCCATCCAGGCCAAGAGGCCTTGGGTCCTCAGGATCCTAACCCAGGCCTGCCACCCACCCTTCATCTGAGAACCGTGCAAGGCATGACGAGAGAGAGAATACGGATGCTGTGGCATTCCAGAACGTACTCATCCCGAGGAGCACCGGCCTCAGACGCAGGCCCCTCGGGAGCCTTCCCTCGCTCCCACCCTCGGGAGCTCCCCCGCAAGCCTGCAGCTATCTCCTGAGTGTCTCAGGGGCGGCAAAGCTCTGCTGGGGAGGAGGTCGGACTTTTTCAAACAGCCACACAGGGTGAGAGTCACACAGAGTCCAGAAAGGGGGAATCAAAGCTGGACGACAATGAGTCTGAGGGACAATTCGGTGTGACTAGAGAGACGTGGTGTCAGACGTACCTGAATGGCTCCAGCGGGCTGGGAAAGCAATGGGGAGGAGAAGTTCCCCCCAAACGCGTCAGGTGGTGGAAAGGCTGCGGGCACGGCCTGCAGAGCACGGAGATGTTCAACGGGGAAGTGAAGGGCTCCTGCTCGTCCGCGGTTAATCGCGGAGGCTTCAGGACCCTCTCGTCACCCCTCCTGGGTCTCACTTGGTCCCCCACTTCCTCCACCAAGAATCTTCAGGGATCTGTGCTCCTCCCAAAGAGGGAGCCCTCAGGAGAGGTGGGGCTCTCCCTGGAACCTGGCCATCTGCCTGGCTGGCATGGTGCGTGCTGTCCTCACCCCACTGCCAGGCCCTGCTTCTCAGTGAGCAGGAACGACCATTCAATCCCCCTGCCACCCTGCGAAGGGCTGTCGGCTGTCCTTCCGCCAGCAGAAGTCCTCAACCAAAGCCCAGACTCAAGGGGCCACCGTGCGAGCTACCCTCTGGCACAAGACCCAAGGAATCTGATCGCGGACTTCCCCCAGTGTTTCCTCGGACACAACACCAGATCCCATTCGACTCTCTCCTTCCCCCTTTTTGCAGAAGAGAGCACGTCACATGCCCATCAGGGAAGGAGAGAGGGGCAGCTCTGGCTTGTGGAGAGACTGAGAAGCAGGTGGGTCACGAAGGAGTGGCTGAGCTACCCGGGCAGCTGCGAGGGGGAGGGGGCGGCACTGGGCAAGAAGAAAACACAGATTTGTTCTCCTTAGTGGGCCTCTTCCCTGAGTTTGATTTTTGAGCTGAAGTCTTGCCTAATTTCAATTCAAAAAAAAAAAGAAAGAAAGAAAGAAAAAGAAGAAGAAAAGAAAGGAGTATCTCTTGTGAACACATGATTAAGCTCCGGCTCAAAGGCAGTGGCCCCTGGCAGGGGAGGGGCAAGCCAAGGCTCCCAGCTCCACTGTCCTCGAGCTGCACAGGCACGAGAGCCATGAGCCGGGGGCCCCCCCCTTCTCCACCGTCCACCTCCCGCACCCATGCCTGAGCCTGCCCCCGGCGGAACACAGCGGCCACGGCCCCTCGGTGAGACTCCAGCTCAAGCCCCGGACACTCAAGTACAGGCCCTCCTGCACAATACTTACAGCAAACAGCTTTACAGTATTTGTACATTTACACAAAAATAGATCCTTTTATATATATATATATGTATTTATAACTGGTTACACGTTGGATTCATAATTAGGCATCACCAGTAGTAGTTGGCACAGTTTGTCATTTAAGCTCAGGGTCAAATTCGGTCTCGTTTCGCCGCTCCAAAGCACAAAAAAAAAAAAAAAAACAAACAAAAAAGGAAAAACAAAGGCATGTCATCTCCATGGTGTGTTCTTAAATACAGCAATGTCCTAGGAAAGCACATGTACGAATGAACAGTGCCTTCTGATCCCTCCTCCTGTCTCTTGAAGAGAGGGGCCGGGCTAGAAGGACACAGGGGTCAGTGGGGCCGGCTGCTGGACTCCGACGGCTGCCTCTTCCGTGAAGGGATGTAGCCGTTCAGATAGCCATTGGTCTGCCGTTTGGAGAGCCCTCCGTTCAGGATGTCCTGAATGTGTTGCACAATGAGGTTGATGGCCACTGTGGGGCAGAGAGCGGCTGTGTTAGGGACAGTGCAGAGAGGAGACAAGCCTTCCACCAGGGAACCCACCAGCCCCCCATTCCAAGTAGAATGATCCCTGCAGAAGGCTCAGAAAGGTTAACATGGGGACTCTCTGTTCTTAGCGTTAGAAATAAACGGTTCATCTCAAGCAAGTGACTGATGTTGACATCACCATCACCAGACGTGGAATGAAGACAGAGTGCTTTCTGAGATGCTGCACAAAGAACCCGTGCAACACAACGTCTCTCCTACGGTGTTCTCCCTGGGTTGTGTAAACTGAATCTAATCATGAGGAAACAAAGATGAACCCAAACTGAGGGCCATTCTACAAAACGACGGGCCTGCACGCCTCAAGTCTGTCAAAGGAAATTGTATCAGTCTTTACTTCTCTGGATGGAATGTCTGTTCTGTGGCTAGGAATGAAAATGCCCTTCTCTTTAAGAAATACACAGTGAGGGGCGCCTGGGTGGCTCAGTCGGTTGGGCATCCGACTCCTGGTTTCAGCTCAGGTCATGATCCCAGGGTCCTGAGACTGAGCCCCTCATCGGGCTCCACACTCAGTAGGGAGCCTGCCTGCAATTCTCTCCATCTCCCTCTGCCTCTCCCCCTTTTCTCTCTAAAATAAACTAAATCTTAAAAAAAAAAAAAAAAAGAAATACACAGTGAAATATTCATTGCTAAGACAGACTCCCAAATGACTCAGCAAAAAAAATTAACTGTTTAAATGGAAGAAAGTTGAAATTAATTAATAAAAGAGAATGAGAAGGTAGGGACTTCTCACAGATCATGCCCCAGTCTGCCTCAGCCCAGAGGTACCCCAACTTCTCAGACAAGCCAAAACCAACAAATAAATAAATGCAACTAGCTCCCTTTCAGAAGGGCTACCTTGATGGCAAGTCATTCTAAATTAAATTAAGAAGAAAGCGTGCTTTTGCTAAAAGATGGCCTTGGATGCAAGGCATCTCTAAGTGTCATCGCTGGGAGTGACAGCAAAGGCCAGTGTCCAGTCCTCTGGTTTCTGTTAGAGAAGCATGAGTTCCTATTTGTGACCATGGCCATACACACATGTACACAAGGGCCTGTTCCCAAGGCCAACTACGTAAGCAGAAATTCCTTTCTGGCTCCCAGGAACAGAACAGTGGTTCAGCCACGTCCATGGAACCTTGCTTGGTCACCACATCCTGTCTCAAAGTATGACGGACATAGGGTAGAAGTCATGCCTCCACCGGATGACTCCCCACCAGGACTCACCTAGATTATCTGCACCTCTAGGAATGATCACATCAGCGTACTTCTTTGTCTGTGGAGAAAGAAATTCACAACGCATTAAAGAAGAAACAAACTGGTCCACGCCCCTCTTGAGGGGCCATGAGAAAAGGGTCAGCCTTCCTACCACTGATCCCGGAGGGTGGCAGTTTGAAGCTGCCAACACAGTATTTTTTTAGCTCCTTTATCTAAATTACAATAAATCATCTCTCTTGATCTTTCATTATTAATGGTTTAATACTATTTAAGCTTAGGACCTGCACTGAGAATGTGGTCTTTGAAACCAAACTCGTAACTGCCTCCTCCCTACTAAGAAAAATATGAATTAGAAAAACCCAAATTGAAAAGGGAAGTGGTTCACCTTGGACTTCTACATACAGTCTGAAAGGGGACACCACTGATCCTAACACAAGGGTAAATCCAAGAAAAATAATCCCCCTGATGACCATTTGCATGGTCATTTTGTTACCACACTTTAAAAAAAAAAAAAAAAAAAAAAGTAAAGCCGCAATTAGATACATTCCCTTTTCTGTTTTCCTATTTCACTGGGATTTTGTGGACCACTTTACAAGTAACTGTGTTCTGGTGTGTGACCCAGCTTACGTCTAGCGTAAGACCACCTCCACCTAACGATGCCTTCAGCACATGGGCATCTTGTGTACTAAAACCATTCAAATGCAACTGTGTCAGGCCCAAACCCAATCTGAACTAGGCAGACAATTTATCAGATCTGAGCTCCTGGCTTACACATGAATGACCTGATCTTCCCTGATCACAGAGTGGCTGGACAATGGGAACAAGCAGAAACCACCCAGAAAAATGTGCAGAACTTTAAGCTCTGTTATAACTAAGTGAAACAGCAGATAGTGGCAGTTAGCTCTAGTTCATGTCCGGTAAGTTTACCTTGCGCTATTATTAAGGTAAAAAGAGGAGGAGTCGTCCCTAGATAGATAGACGAATGGATCGAATTTCCTGGCTTCTCCACTCCCTCTGCCCTCTGTCTGGAAACCTAATCCTGTGACCCAATCCTCTCCAGGGGAATGAACAGGCCATCAGCGTTACTCAGACTGACTCAGAAAATCCACCTGTCCCCAATCTGAAACAACAGAAGTCTAGTCTGGTTTGGCGCAAAACCTACTAAAAGACTTGAAGGAACAGACAGTTGGAGATCATACTTTTCCAGGAGAAAGAAAGAAGTTCATTACTCGGAGAAACAAATTCCCACACTCGGCCTCACTCTACACCTCTTCTCCATGCCCACAGCTTCCAGTCTCCCAGAAGAGATCAACTAAGATCAGGCTAAGTCCCAATGTCTCCCCACTCTCACTCAGAGTTCATTATAAATCGTTAGGCAGTTAGACCATGGTGAGGTCAACCTGGTGAGGACACACGACACTGGTGCAGGTATCTCCTGAGTTAAACGCTTCTTCTCAAATGACATCATCTCCTACCTCTTCCTCTACCACTACCCCTGCCCCCCATCCAACCACTACAACCACCGCACCTCTTGTCCCTGGTGGGCCTCCCGCAGCACTCACCTCTCTGTCCCCTGAAGACAAGAGTGTTTCCTGTGCTGAGGGCCGACTCACTAAACACTGAAAATTCCCCATATCCCCAACCTCCCTTCTCTGAAAGCACCTCCCAGAGAGTTCCCAGCTGCCACAGGAGGAATGATGAGCCTGTGCCATGGCAGAAGTAAGGAAGCTTATTCCAACATGGCAGGACACTTCCCATTGGGGAACGTATCCAGAGGCCAAAGACAAGCTCAAAGGGGCGGGGTGGGGGGAGGGCAGAAGAGATTCAGAAGGAAATACCCTACTGCTGAGCCCTCCCTACACCAATACTACAACCATCACAGACCTTTTGAAGATCCCAGTGGCCGAGTCTATGCTTAGGTATGGCGCACCCTCACACCGTGAGCCCACCAAGCAAGGAGTGCAGAGTTTGCCGGAGTCAGACAGCGGGACCCTGAAGGACCATTCTGACAAAGATGGCGGCCGACAGCTCCCAGAGAGCACAACGCCTCAAAGGCTGCCCTTTCTTGGGACTGGAGGACAGAGGATCATTCAGAGAGAAATGAAATTCAGGCCCGGGGGCTCCATCGGCTTACATACCTGTATGTATGAGATTTAGTTTTAAATGCTAAATTCAACAAAAAACAAACCAAGAACACAACTCACTGGCAAGCAGAATTCCTCAAAGGCAGGCTTGACGAACGTAATGTACTGAGATAAAATCTGCTCAAGGTCCCTCCCTCTTTCGCTGATGTCCCTTAATACTATAAGAAAAGGAAAAACAAGAATCAAGAAAATGGTGCATGAGCCAACACATGTCCGCCCTTCCTGAGGCAGACCAGGCTCGTTCAGGCTCTGCGATTACTCTGGATGATTCACAAGCTGGATTCCTGAGAGACTTGACCAAGAGTGGGTCAGCAGCAGCTTCAAGAAAAACAAGTTACATTTTTATTGTTATAGTCAAATTGGGCGATGACATAAGGATCTTCTGAAGCAAAAGGCTGTCCAGCCTCAGCCAACAGTCTTCTGGTTTCAAGCAGCATTTGACCCAAATAAAATTTCAGTGTGAACAACATAAAAAAGCAGGACGGTCCTGCAGGGCTCATAACAGGGAGCAGACAGGGCCCAGAGAGGAGGTGCGGCTCCTGGACGGCGTCCCCTTGCAGTGACTTACCTGCGTGCGGCCCGCGGACCTACTGCTGACGTGCTGCCTTATCACGCCTGCACCCCCCCCCCACAACATTCCAGCCCCTACAGGGGCAGAAGCCAGGCAGAGGGTCCCACTGCGGCCAGCCACTCCTGCCGACCTCAAGCACGGGGGCTTGCAAATAGAAAACACCTCGTTTGAGGGGACAACACCCTGGTTTTGGAAACAGTGGGCTGCACTCCCCATCTTCGACCTTCTCCCCCTGGGGCGGTGTCATTCAAGGGCTTTCAACCCAACACCTTTATTATTTTAACAGTCTTTCGTCAAAAAACTCTAGGGACTAGGGACTAGGATCCTGGCTCTGCCACTCTACACCAACCTCCCTGAGCCTCAGCCTCCCCGCAAACTCGGCAGTGAGAACTTGGGAGGAGATTCTCTCCGTCAAAACAGTGCCTCCCTACGGGTGTTGTTGTAAATCTTAGCCCCACGGCTGCCCGATCTTCCACCCGGACCCTGAGAGGGTGCCCTGTCCATCAGCAACCATTCGTGAAGGCCCCTTGGCTCCTCTCGAACATTTCTCAGGTTACAGACTCAGCAGGGGATGAACCTCACTGCAAATGCACCAGGGCACACTTGCAAGTGAATTTCCCGACAGCCACGTCTCTAGATAATTCCGTGTGTCCGCACACGCACGCACACACGCACACCGGCAGGGGCAGGAAAGAGGGAGGCTGTCGTGGTTAGGATTCGGGCTGGTGTGGAATGTGTGAGATTAGATGGCGAGAAGACCACATTCCAGAGGGTCAGGTGACACGGCCAGACCTCCTGACTCTCCCAGCAACGCCTGCATTTACAAGACATCTGCCTGCATTTACAAGACATCTCCGCAGAAACCCTGGTCTTGGGTAATCAGCACCTGCTGATGGGTCAGGGCTTGTCCCACGGCCCCTCCCGGCCCCGGGACAGGCAGAGGCGCCTCCCCCGGCCAGGAAATGGTGTTCCCAGGCATTCTGACGTGGGGCCGGAGGCTCTGCCAGGGAGCCGGGCTGCCACGTGGCTCGCCCCCACCAGCCTCCGGAGCCCTGGCCCGCTGGCGACCGGGCTCCCCTCGGCCAAAACACACAGCCAGGGTGGCCTCCAGTTTCTCCACGTTCCCAGATAAAGTACAAAGGGAAAAGGAAGCCAGGGCAAAGGGTATCAGCTGGGGAAAAAACAAACACACGGCCACACTCGGATAGCTTTTGCTTAAAAGCCGTGCAGAAGCCTGATGTGTGTGTTTCACAAGACACGCTCTGCACATGAGTGCGGCTGGCGTGCATGGCGTGGGCCCCTGTCTTTCCCCCGGCATGCACACACGGGCCCACGGGCTCCCTGGGGGCTCTCCCGCTGCCCCCGGCCCCAGCCAGCGGCTCCCTTGTTACCTGCGCCTACGCCACTGCGTGGGGAAGGTGCAGGGCTGGGGGCAAGCACGGGGAGCAGAAGAGTCACCCAGAGGCTGCCCTAGGTCCTGGGCCCACCACCCGGAGCGGGGCAGGCAGAACCAACCTGGGTTGGAATCCTGATCCCACTCTTACTTCTGTGACCTTAGAAAGGTTACCCAACCTCTATGAATCTCATTTTCCTTAACTGTAAAATAGAGACATGATACACAGAGACTTTCTCATAAGGTCATTACTCCAGAATACAGGGGGATGGGCTTAAAGTCTTCAGCGCTGTGGCTGGTGCATGGGACGTATTCGATAAACCTGAATTTCTACCACCCATGAGGATGGTAACCGAATCTGGGAAGCTTCAGGAGAAGGACAGCTCCCTGACAGAGCAGGGGGCCCCTGGGAGGGCAGCATCTGTGAATTCAGAGGAACTCAGGTGAGCTCAGGTGAGCAGGCCGGACCCAGCCGAGAGCCAGGGTCCCACGGAGCAGCTGGAAAGGTGGGAGTGGGGGGCTGCCGTGCGGGAGGGACCGCAGGGCACGGACGCACGGGAAGACACAGTGGAGAGGGAGAAACAGGGAAGACAGGGAGGAGCCACCCTTCAGTTTCTACCCTGGGAAGGGAAACAGGAAATGGGGGAGAATGTTGCCCAGACACTGGGAACGTGCAAAACCAAACGGCATCACCCACCTCTGCTCCCTGAGAGCCTTCCACTAAGTTACCACCTCCAACAGCCCGAGACCCCACCTCAAGCCAAGGACAACACAAGGCCAGCCAGTTCACGGCACCAAAGTGCCCGGCTCCTCAGGCAAAGTCAGGAAACAGGACCAAGCCAAGGACTGAGTCAGAACAAGGTCTTGGCACAAACCGGAAACTCCAGGGACTCAATACCGGCTCCCTGATCATCACTCTGACCTGGCACATTTGCTTGGAAAGGAAAAGGCCCTTTCAGAAGAGGGGGAAAGCGCAGGAAACTACCCGTCTGCCCACCTTCCCGTCTTGGCTCTCACAGCCGCTCTTCCAAAGCCACCAGGGCTCCTCTGGTCAACCAAAGCCAAGAACAAAATTTAGAAAGACCCAGAATAAATACAATTCCTCAATGGTTCAGCCATTTCAATTTAAAAATTAGTCAAGGAAATGTGTTAGCTCTAGTAACAGACTAACCAACTCAAGGTCCACTGCAGCCCTGAAGCTGTGGGGACTGAACACAGAGAATTATAGCAGAAAAGAGTAGGTGTCAGCCCTCTTTGGTCCCCAGTCTCAGTTCTTCCCTGTCCCCAAATTCAAGGGTGGGTTAGAGTAAATAACACACATGGCAGGAAGGTGAAGGCTGGAGAAGCCAATACCCCAAAGTATGAGGGGTTCCCGTGATGGGAGTGTTTCCAAAGCTGCACGGCTCAAAGGCAAAGCCCCCATTCCACACTCTGACCACAAGGGTCATGGGTGCGGTGACACGCAGAAGGGCAAAACCATGGCACTAACTCAAGTCTCCAGGAATGTTCTGAGGCCCAGCAGCTGCTCCTGACTAACCCACCCTCCCATCCCACAAAGCACATGCCAGGCATGTTTTCTGTCCTACAAGGACAGAGAATGAACTTGTTGAAGCAGCATGTGGAAAGGCCCCGCAAGTCCATCAGGAAAGTGACTCACCAGCAGGTGACACAAGAAGGCAGAGGTCTGAGAGGGAAAGCGACAGCCTCCCTGGGAGCATCAGGGATGTGACCAGAGAAACCCCACAGAAAGCCACCATCACCTCCTATCTTGCCCTCGTTTTGCACAAGAATCCCAGTATAAGAAAGCAAGGGAGAATTCTCTGTGCCATCAGTGCCATGATGATCCGTTTGAATTAGAGGCCAAGATCGTCTGATTTTCAAGGATTCTGAATTCTGGATTTCTCAAATTTGGTTCTATTTGGCCACGGCTCACATGCCCTTCTCCCTCAAGCATTTAACTACACCGCCGCCCCCCCCCCCCCCCCGCCCAGGACTTCAGTACCAGGTGCTGACCTGATGATGGGAACAGGCCAGCGTCCCCGTTCCTGAGGATGAGATGACCACTCAGAGGTTCTGACCAGTCCTGATGGAAAACTCGGGAAAACAGAACATCTACCATCTCAGACAAAGCAGACCCGACCTAACACACGGACAGTTATCAGCTAACGCACCAGCAGGCGTTTAACCTGCCTACAGCTCCTCCTCACAACCCAGGGGTACTGATCGATACCTCATCAACCAACGCGCGTATCCCTATTTATGAGGGACTAAGAGGTTACAACATAACCTGCCCGAGGTCAGACATCGACTAAATGGTGAAATCAGGATTTAAGTAGAATTCTTCTGACTCCAATTCCACCCACCTGTCCACCCCCACCCCGGGTCATTATGTTGCCTCCCAGATTTGATAGACTGACAGGGACATGGAGTAGATCAACCATGGCAGGACCTGGGTTTGGAGACTAAGGTGACAGATACACCAGGCCCTGAGGCGGGTGCAGGAGGGAATACCAGGCTTGGGCCTTGATGATCTATTAAAAAACACCACGCAACTCTTTCCTGGCCCAAGTCATGACCCTCTAAACAGGCCTGTCTCCTTCACCTTATCCATAAAGAAACCCAAGCCTGGGAGGTCACACGAGTCCCAAGCGCCACCAAAGTCACAAAGCTAGCTGGAGACTGTGGGACTAGAATACAGGCCTCCCACTCTCCTTTCTTCCATTGAGGAGTTCTACCCAACCCCACGCCACCTCGGAGTGGAAGTGGAAGAACAACTCACTTAGCATAGACATTATTCCTTGGGAGGACAAAAATCCAAGGTCTCATTTCTCTATATTCTGCTGGTTCCATTTATAGTTCTTGCAAAGAGGACTTAAGTGGATAAAGCACAAATTTGTTTCATGAACTGAAAAGAGAACATGTTACAGGCTTTGAGGTCAGAAGGCTCTGGGCTGGAACGTATAAAATTCCAATCAGCAGGGGCGCCTGGGCAGCTCAGTCGGTGAAGCATCTGCCTTCGGCTCAGGTCATCTCAGGGTCTTGGGATCGAGCCCCGCCATTGGGCTCCCTGCGCAGTGGGGAACCTGAGTGTCCCTCTGCCTGCCGCTCCCCCTGCTTGTACACACTCACTCTCTCTCTTTCCCTCACAAATAAATAAATAAAATCTTTTTTTTTTTTTTTAATTCCAATCTGCCCAAGATTTGCTCTGTGACTAGGAGTCACTGTTGTCACTCCCAGGGTCTCATTCCTGTTCCATGTGAGGAAGACTGGAAGCCTTGCTCACTGTCCTCATCCCCACAGCCCCTACAGGGGGCTGTCATTTTCTGACTCTGCTGGTACCCTCTCAACCCTGCCACTTCCTACAGCAGCCCTACCTACCATCTTCACTCCCATGTCCTCCAGCAGACTCATCTCCCAACAGAGAGCCGAGGCCCTTTCATTTGCCCTACTCAAAACCCCTTGGTAGCTCTCCCTCATGGACCAGGGACCAAACGGGAAGCCACAGACCCCATAATCTGCCTCTAGCGATTTCCAGCATCTCTCTAGACAGACATCTAGGAACTCCAGCCACTTGCTTCCTGAAACAAGCCCTGTGTGCCTGTGTTTGCACCGTGTAATTTCTTGCATTGTCTACGTCATCACCCTGCCACACCCCCCGTGAAGCTTCCTGATCCCGCAGGTGGAAGCAAGGGCTCCACTCCATGTCCTGCCGGGCTGAATTACAGGCTCCGCTCCCCACCAAAGGACAGCTGTCCCTCAGGACGCCAGGCACGGAGACCGACACAGGCACACCCTCAGTAAGGCCTGCGGAGGGAATGACCCAGCAACTGCGCCGCAGCTGGCGGGACAGAGGGACCAAACCTCCATAGAGCTTTCTGGGAAATAAAGACTACAGAAGCGGGCTGGTACGACCAGCTGCCCAGCTCTGTGGGCACTAGGGATTCTTGTCCCCAGACATCCTAGTTTTAGTTCCTATCTTGATGACGATGCCTGTGGGAAAACCACACAGAACTGGGCATTTAATCCAATGTTTTCCCCCGCAAAACCACAACATAAACTTCTGAATTCATCTCCGTGACCTCACAAGCCTTTCGTTATGCAACACAGTGACTAATCCCTTCTCAGATGCCACCAGGTGTTTGAGCAGCAGGACATCCTGGGGCTGAACTGGCTTAGCTGGACTGGGCCACTGGAGGCCTTCAGAACCCACCTCTGCGGGAGAGCCGGGTGTCCGCATCTGTGTCCACGAAAAGCTTCATCTGGAACAGGTCTCGCACCTCCTGGGAGTAGAAGGCCAGGATCCCTTCAAAGAGCACCACATCTGCGGGGTAGACGGTGACCGTCTCCTCCTTCCTGCAAAGCACAGAGCAGATGATGGGCCAAACCAGACAGGGTGAGCAAAGGATGGAGGACAGCAGCATTTGTCTGGGGGTTTGGGGCCCCCTCCCTGCAGACCTACAGCAGGAACAAAAGGGGGAAGCTACCGCCGCCTTGCAGAGCCCTCGGACCCCCACTGATGGCCAACCAAAGGGCCATCACAACTGGGGCAAATGTCTCCTCTGAGCTCTCACCATAAAGCAGAAACAGAAGGCAGTCGTCCCTCTCCTTGGGATTTAAAAAAAAAAAAAAAACAACCCATGCTGCTGAACACACAACAGAGAAAGACAGAAGCAGATGTGATTCCTTCTTTTTTCTGGAGGCGTCTCCAGGAATGCTCTCAGGCCTGGCATTTATGGAAGCTAACGCTGAACTTTCACAAACAGAAACTCAGTCTTCTCCCAACGGCCCCAACCCCTCCCCCATTTGGAGGCAACTGAAGGAGGCAGGAAGGGTCGGGAGAGAAGGAGGCAGAAAAAGGAAGTTGCAGAGCAGAGGAAGCGCCTACAGGGAGGGAAAGCCTCCCAAGCTCCATCTGGTCTGGCTCCACAAGAAAGCAGCGGTGTGTCTGTGGTCCAGGGCTGAAGGTGCTCTCCTCCTCCTCCTCAAGGAGGCAGGGGTACGCATGACCTCTCCACCTACCCCACAGGGTCACCACCCGCTTCTGTCCTAACCATCATCTTAACCTAACCTCTTGCCCCAAAGTCACAAAAAGCAAGGTAACAGTTCCCACTGCAAGGTTTACTACTCACGTGCACACTGAGGAATAAAACCAAATAAAACAATGTAAAATAAAACAATTTTTTAATTTTTTAACAATTTTTTAAACCCTTAAGACAATGGGTTTATCTGTGCAAACACAGGGAAGTCGGCAGCTGCCCAGGCGAGAGGATGCACGGAGCTTCCTTCCCATAAACACTCTCTGATTCCTTATTTGCTCAGACCCAGGGGTTCCTAGGCAAATTTTAAGGCAGGCAACTGTTGGGAGCCACTACCCAAGGGCCAGAACAGGAGGTAGAAAAGGCAACCGAAGAGGACCGGGTAAGATTAGGAAACTCTCTAGAGCAGTGATGTAATTCTGGATGCACACATAACCATCTGGGGAGCTTTAAAAAAATATATGCATGCCTGGCGGCATCTGGGAGGCTCAGTCCATTAAGAGACTGACTCTTGGTTTCTCCTGGTTTCAGCTCAGGTCATGATCTCAGGGTCCCGAGACTGAGCCTCTGTGCTGAGTGTGGAGTCTGCCAGATTCTCTCCCTGTCCCTCGACACCACTCCCCCACCGCACGTGTGCACACACCCATGTGTGCTCTCTCTAAAATAAATAAAATCTTAAAAAAAAAAAAAAAAATGCCTGGGATGCCTGGGTGGCTCAGTGGGTTGAGCATCTGTCCTCGGCCCAGGTCATGATCCCAGGGTGCTGGGATCGGACCCAGCATCGGGCTCCCTGCTCAGCGGGGAGCCTGCTTCTCCCTCTCCCTCTGCCTACTGCTCCCTCTGCCTGTGCTCGCTCTCTGTCAAATACATAAATAAAATCTTTAGAAGGAAAAAAGTGTATGCCTGGGCCCCACCCCGCAGGGCTCTGATTCCATTCATCTGGGGTAGAGCCAGAGTGCTGGTATTTTATAAAACCACTAAACTGGTATTTTATAAAACCATAAAACGTGCGGCCAGGGGTGAGGACCACTGGTCTGGAGGAGTATCAGCTACCAGAAAACAGGGAGCCCCCTGTGGTTTAGGATAACGAACTAACTGGACAGAGCTCAGAAGGGAAACGGGAGCCGCTCTGGGCAAGTGCCCTGCACAAAGGAGGGTGGGACGTCTCTGCTGGGAAACGGAAATGTTCCCGTTTGTGTGGGGAAGGGGGACTCCCAGGGCTCCGTCTGGAAAACACACACCGGGAGAGCACCGTGACCGTGCTAGGTGTACATGCGCTGACACCAGATCCAACGCAATTAGGACGCCTCGCTGATAAGCATGAACAAGGAACAGGTGGTTTTCCAACTCAACAAACACGCCTCTCCGATCCTGGGAAAGCAAGGAAAACATCGCTGTCCGTGCTGTTGCTGGTGCCCCAAGAAGCTGGAATTGATCCTGTCCCACGTGTGCACGTACATCCAGGGAGGAGAACCCTTCCAACAGCCCACAGCTAAGAACAACATCTACTGGGCAACTGCCAGCCCAGAACAAGCGAGGAGGCTTGCCTGGTGCAATATTCTGGGGAGAAGTTCAGAGTCTGGCTGCGAAGTCCACACACGATACCAAGACAATCAGAGCATTTGAGAGAACCTAAATCCAAGCTTCTCGGGTGGCTTATGAGGAGAGGCAAGGCCAGAGAAGCGTATTTACAGCAAACAAGACTCTTCTCGGTCTTAGTCCAACATCTGTTTGTACATCACCATGAAAGGCCCGCGGATGCATCAGGAGCCGTAAGCTCGGAACAGCTGGGTCCCTGACAAGTGGACCTTGAAAGCGGAGGGACTGCTGTGGCCAAAAGTGGTCCAGAGAAGTTTCACAAAGATATGGGCTGTGGGCCACTAAAGAGAGGGGCTATCAAATGTATGGTGTGAAAGGAATCAGGGGTAGGGGAGGACATCACGTCCAGACGGGAATTCTGCTGGGGTTTCGCTGCTTAATGCATGAACCTGATGGAGTTCACGCGGCACACGCGACCCCACCCCCTCCGTCCGGGGAGAACCTGCCTGCCGGCCACGCGGACTTCCGCCACCTGATGGGAGGCTCTCACCTCGGCTACTACTCCAAGGACTTCATAAATAGCATCGTGATCCTCTCTTGCTGACACCAGAACCATCTGCTCCCACCCAACAGCCATCTGTGACTCCCTACTCCCAGCACACTCACGATCTGGCCCTGGCATCCCCAGCCTCTCCTCTCTGGGTCTCTGGGGCCGGCCGGCCTCCAGCCACTCTTCCTGCACACTCACGCCCAACCTACCCCTCCTAACCAGCTGTTGATTCCCCACCAAGCTTGTCCTTGAACTGCTTCTCTACCCATTACCTTGAAAATCCCCTTCCCCAATGACTTATTACGCTTTCCAATATACAGTTTAAATATCACCTCCTTTATTCAACCTGCTCTAAATACTCCATCCCTTCCTCCCTTCTTCACACTCCTCCTTGAGCCCTTTAGTTCTTGGGCTGCATTTTAATTCTGTAGCACTGCCCTGCCCTGGACCTGAGAGCTGGTGGGCTCCCTTGTCTCCCATAGATAGGACATCACCACCACTTGCTGCTAAGGCTAGAAACTACAATTCCCAGAATCCTTTTCCCTCTGGGGTCCCAGGATGCTTTGCCAATGGGAAATGTAGAAGATGAAACAAAACCCATATAATTTTTAAGAAACCTTAATAGCCACACAGGGCTACTTCGCAGACACTCTAAGTGGCCCCCCTTGGAGGCTGGGGCTCAGATGTGGCAGCTTCTTGGACTTGCCATGGACACTGGCTTCTCCTCCAGTGCCTCAGACCACAGCCTCCCAGATCTTAGCTCTCCCAGCACCTCCCTCAATACTCTTACTAGCTCCAATTCCTATACCAAACCCCTTTATTCCTACACGGTCTGTGATGATTTGATGCTGGAGGTGCACCTTGTTGAGTTTACAGCACAGTAGCATCTGATCCTTAGTAGGACACCCTTGAGAAGATACTGGGGAGGGATGAGGGCAAGGCACTGAGCAGCCTGGCTTCTCCAGCACACTGTGTTCACTCTCCTCCTCCTCCTCCAGCCAATCTCTGCCACACCTTCCAGTTCTGGGAAAAGCACAGAACATGTGAGGAATCCCGCATCAAAAACTGGCTGAGATAGTACTAAAGGAACACACAGGGAGACAGAGATGGGCTTTTAATTATAGAGACATTTGGTAGCAAAAGATGCATGAAATCTAATTTCCCATTAAAAAAAAAATTCCACTTGAGAGAATGACAAGAAAGGAACCAAGAGGAAACGATGAAAAGCAGGTGGGAGAAACTTTCAAAACAGCGCCGCGCTGAAAACACTTACTGAGTAATTACTAGCCAAGAATAAGGAGCAACGACACGTGCTTGAAATGCCATTCAGAAGTTTAGAGTCTGCCTGGGAAGTCAGTCCCAAAGACACAGAGTGAGCAGAGTCCTGGCAGGCTCGAGGGAGCTTGAGAGCCTGGCCAGCAGGCATCGTGAAGTCCTCTAGAAGCCTCGGGCAACCACTCAGAGGGAAAGAAGATGAGCCCCTCCTCATCGGGAGCATAAACACAGATCAGCAGAAAGGACATGACTGAGGAACTCTCCTGAGAGTTGAGCATCTGGTCTCTGGTGACCTCAGTGCCCTCACACCTCTCTGCGCAGTCCAACCAGCAGAGAAGAAAGAACAGTTTTCTTTGTTCTTCCTCCCATGTCCTCTGCCCAGCCCATTCACATCTGATTCCAGGAATAACAGCTTGGGGCTGGGAATCAGGACAAGTGTATTGTCCCTCACCTGAGCCCAAATTCATGAACTTGTCCTTTCAGAGTCAGGAAAAGGTGATGAGCAGACTGTTCCAGGAAGCACCAGGTAAACTCCCCAACCCTTGCACACCCACGACGCACACCGCTGCTGCTCACACACGGGTGGCCGTGGGCACGGGGAAGGGGAGGCCCCAGCCTGCAGCCTGGGAGCTGGGACGGCTCTGGGAGCTGCGAGGAGCAATGCCTAGTCCCGACGAGCTCACTTACCGGGAATGGGAGACAAAGTCATACACGGGAATCTGCACCGTCTTCCCTTCGGTGATTTCTTTGAGTGTTTTGAAGATGAGTTCATTGTCAAAGGCATCTGAAGGAAATCAGACTGTTTAAATGTTGCTGAATTTTAAAACGACTTCTTCTATAATCATCCACATCTATTTCGTGGACGTGTACCACACCCTAGAGGAGCACATACGCTCCCACTGAAAAAAGCCAGATCTCTACCCAAAACAGAAGGCAAACTCCCTGGATCTCAAAACAGAATGTATGAATGCGTTCCGAGGGACTCACTTCTTTTTTCTACCTTTCTGTTCCCCGCCCTCCAGCCCCAGCCACCTCTCCTCCAAGTTCAGCTGCTGTCTTGGCAGCTGGCATATGTTAACCTAGAAAAGTATAGACACAACTAGGGGAGTGTAAGGGGCACCAGGTTTTGATTCCAAGTTACAAGAACCAAAACCAGGGGCACCTGAGTGGCTCGGTTGGTTAAGCATCTGCCTTCGACTCAGGTCATGATCTCAGGGTCCGAGATCATGATCTCAGGGCATTGGGCTCCCTGCTCTGCAGGGAGTCTGCTTCTCCCTCTGCCTGCTGCCTCCCCCTGCTTGTGCTCTCTTTCCCTCTGACAAATAAAATCTTTAAAAAAAAAAAAAAAAAAAAAGAACCAAAACCAGCTGAAGGGCAATGCACTGGTCTGGGACCGTCAAGGCGAAAGTCACACAAGCAGACATCCCGGGCTCTCCACGGTCCATTCTGCCAGTCGGGTGAGTTTCACAGTCTGCCATGGGCATGCATGTGTGGGATGGGGGTGGGGGAGTGAGGGAGGCACAAGCTGCTTCAGATCAGAGGAGGCAGAAGAACCAGCTGTGCTTGTGCCAGTCTCAAGTAACAGGCTCACACAGAGTCACCCTCGTTCATACGCAAGCCCTAGTCACGACACCATGCAACTGTGTAATGCATTTCAAAACTCCTTCTTCAGGCCCCACATAACCCCATAAGGTCATTTCTTCATCCCCGTGTTATCCAAAGAAACAGATTCCAAGGGGTCAAACAATGTCCTCAGTGAACCAGCAAGTGCACGACACAGCAAGACACAGACAGACACACAGACACACAGACACACACACACACACACCCTCCCTCAACCGCTGACTCACCCGGGTGATCAAAATTGAACTGGCCCTTCAGGGCTTTGGCCTTCTGCTCCGACGTGAGGACGCGGTAGAAGCTATCCTGGCTCAGGATGACCACCTGCTTCTGGCGACAGTCCACCTCATTCTGTCCCAGGAGCTGCACGATCTTAGCGCAGACGGAAGACTGCAGGAGAAAAGAGGAGGGCAAGGATTAAAGGGGCTCACAGTCGCTCCCGGATGCGGACGCCCTCCGCCAGGGGCTTCTGGAGGGAAGAATCCGTAGGCTACCATCTTGTCGGATGGATCAGAAGGTGCTAAAGGAGAAAGTCAGTCTGCTGAGAGGGAGGATCCCAGAGTCTCTTTTCCCCCCTTCCTTAACACAGCTTCCTACTCGCAGGTATCTGCGGGGGCCGCGGCGGAGAGCAGGGCAGTAATGCCTACCTCCTCTTCCATGCGGTCCCTTCTAAAGCCGCTACTGCAAAGCAACAAGAATGTATTCATCCCGGCTTGTGCCCTGGTCCGGACACTCGGGGAACAGCAGAAAGTGGAAAGAATGCACCTTGGTGATGTGCTGATGGCCCAGAGGGCCCCTGAGCCATGAAGGGACTGAGCCCATGTGAAATCCAAAGCCAGGGCCAGAGGACTCGGCCAGTGAGCAGTTAAGGTCAAGGTCATGGCTTGCATCCTGCTTGTGCGGCTTCTGCTCTAGTGCCTGGCCGTGGTCTTGTCCGCACTCACACCCACAGTAAACCAAATATATACCACCACTTACGGGCTGGGGTGACACGGGATAAAACACAACCAACACCTAAACCAACATGGGGTTTCCCTGCCGCGAAGAGGTCAGCCTGTTCCGGATGAACTCAAACCTACACGCTCTGGGTCCGGTTGCCATCAACACACACGCACCGGTGATGTTGTGAAAATGGGAAATGCATATTTAGTCCTTGCTTTTCTGGCAGAGTTCTTAAAACCCCTGAATTTCCTAAGTAGGGAGAGCGGTGCACCGGTCTTTGTTATGTTAAGGAGGAGGCTTCTGGAAAGCACCTAAGGATAGGAGCTGGTTGCCGGGGGAACCAACCATTGCTGAGCGGGTTAGAACTTTCAACCCTCCCACCCTGACCTCCAGGAAGGGGAGGAGCTGGAGGCTGAATCCCAGGCCAACACCAACAATATAATCAAAAACGGGCTGTCATGAAGCCTCCACACAGACCCAAGACGATGAGGTTTGGTGAGCTTCCTGGCTGGCGAACACATGGAGTGTGTGGAGAGCAGCCGGCTCTGAGAGCACCGACACCCCACTCCTCAGAACCTGCGCTACATGGCATCTCTCCCACCCGGCTGGTCCTGCCTTATACTCTTTTACGATCAACCCATAACCTTTTAAGTAAAATGTCCATGTTGTGTGTGCTGCTTAAGCAAATTAATCAAACCTACAGAAGGGACAGCTGGAACCTTCAATCTATGTCCAATCAGCCAGCAGGACAGGTGACAACAGGTGCTTTCAGGGGACACCGGATGTCAGGGCAGAAGGGATGCGGGGCAGTCTCTCAGGACTGAGCCCTATCCGTGGGAATTAATGCGATCTCTAGGTAGTGTCAGAATTATTAGGGTGAATTCTCGAATACCCTGCTCATGAGAGAGAATTACTTATTGATGTGGGGAAGCCCCCCCGCCACCGCCCCACACACTAGAATTGGAACTGGGTACAGAACCTAAAATCTACCTCTTTTTCCTCTCCCATAGTACATACTCTTCATAAAAAGAAAAGCATAAAAAAAGATATGCTCTTAAAAGAATGATAGTGAGTTCATTTCAAAAATGAGTTCATTTTTTTCCATCGTATACAGATTAGTTTAAAAATAAGAATGTCTACATTACAAGACCCCTACAAGCCATAGCCAGCCTTGCGGAGCCGGCTGACCTAATTACACGGGATGATAAAAGTGGCGCAGTTAGAGGCTTCTTGGGCTTCTTGGGAGATTGCTTCACTATCGAACTTTCTTTAACAACTGGTTTTAACAAGGAAAAACCAGGACACTTGGCAAGCTTACATTTCTCATAAGCTCTGGATTTGATCTGTCCAAGCCTAAGGAACACTGGACATTCCTGTTGCCCCAGTCAATCCCCATGAGACTATTTGCACAATAGTTCCTGCTGCACAAACTGAGACACAAAACCAAGTAAGGATCTTTGGAGGAACGATATTTTGACTCAGTTGTTAAATTGTCTGAAAACTCTAGGGGCACCTGGGTGGCTCAGTCGGTCAAGCCTCTGCCTCCAGCTCAGGTCATGATCCCAGGGTCCAGGAACAGAGCCCCGCATCGGGCTCCCTGCTCAGCAGAGAACCTGCTTCTCCCTCTGCCTGCCGCTCCCCCTGCTTGTGCTCTCTCTCGATCTCTGTGTCAAATAAATAAATAAAATCTTCAAGGAAAACAGAAAACCGTTTTACTTTTCTGACATTTTCACGTATTAACAGAAAAGCATTTAAAACAGGATTTTTGGAACAGCAGTTAGGCCAGGAAAAAAAAGTCACAGGAAGATAAAACTTGTACATGACTTATGCTAGATTCAAAAATGAAAATACCCAAAAGAATCAAAGCCTCTATACGATTATAAACTATACATTTATAAACAGGTGCAAGCCCATTATTTCATTTTCCTAACTTCCATCTGGTTCCACATCCTAAGGCTATGCAGGGCAAAGTCTATGCCAGTACCTTTTATGAGCAGATAGAAATACATCTAGAAGTCCAAAGAAAGAACAAAAATGAAGAGGGCTTCATGGAGCCAAAGGTATTTAATCTACTTGATTACTGAAATCATGATATTTTTATTTCTAGTTAAAACCCATTAAATTTTTTTTTAATACGAAGACCCATCTCTACCAAAAAAGTGTATATAAAGTAGTTATATTACCTAATTTTGCAGGTAAACAATCATTTCCCTTAACCCAGGTACAACCCAGGACAAATGGACACAATGGCCAATAAAATCGGGTTACTGAGCACATCTCGAAAGCCAGTGTTCATCACAATTTCTTACCAAGGGTAAATCTGGCTGTTTTGCTAGTACACAGCTGTGTGTCTTGGCTCCACGTTTTCAGGGCCTGTTTGGTGATACTACTTTCTTTCTTTTTTTTGTTTTGTTTTAAAGATTTTATTTATTTATTTGACAGACAGAGATCACAAGTAGGCAGAGGCAGGCAGAGAGAAAGGAAAGGAAGCAGGCTCCCCGCTGAGCAGAGGCTGGGGCTCAATCCCAGGATGCGGGATCATGACCTGAGCTGAAGGCAGAGGCTTTAACCCACTGAGCCACCCAGGCGCCCCCGATCTTACTTTCTACAACCACACCATCCTCACCTATTACTGATTTAGTAAGTCAGGGCGTAGGCCACGCGCCCCAGGACAACCACCCTCCTAAGTTCCAAGTGGAAACCAGGTGAAATGACTCGCCTGCAATCCTGTTTCCTTTCATCCTCAACCTAAGCAGTAGTTAGAACTCCCGAGGCAGAAGCCCTTTATCATGGAGATAAACACCACCACGTGAACAAGCAAAGAAAACACCTGTCTCCAGGTCAGTCTAGGTTTTTCTAGTCTTTTCTTCCTCCCGGAACTTGTCAAAGTGGCCTCTAAAAAAAATCTAGATACCTGTTGAACTGGGGGCAAGAGGTACACGAGAGTCCATTATGCCATTCCTCTCCTTGAAGAGAGGTTTGAATTTTCACACAATCGGAGAAAGGAGCCCTACAGAGACTCCACTGTCCCACGAGTGAACGGTCTTTGCCCTATTTCATGTCCTCTTCTTATGGCTCCTTCATTTTAATTTCCCTTTCCCCAAATCCCGCCCTCTTCAGCAGGATGATATGGGACTCCCAAGGTATCTCGTTTTCTCAAGAAAGGAAATAATTTGACAATGACCACGGCTGGAGAAGGCAGGCAGTCTCAAGCTTACAGAAAACGCTAAGAGTGGGCAAGGGTGTGATCGGGAGTCGGGGGCTAAGATTTAAAATAATTATGTCACAGGAAGACAAACACTGTAGGACTCCACTTAAAGGAGGCCTCTAGACTAGTCAAATTCACAGAAACAAATCAGAGTAGAGGTAGCCAGGGGCTGGGGGAGGGGGGAAAGTGAGGAGTGGTTCAGTGGATACAGTTTCACTTTTACATGGGAAAGTTCTGGAGAATGGTCGCCCAACGATGTTACTGTACTTGATACTACAGAAATGTACACCTAAACATGGCTAAGGTCATGAATGTTATCAAAAGTGTTTATTACCACAATTAAAAGCAAGCATTCTTATCGTAACAAAAGCAAAATGGGTAGTTTCTTCCTAGTTGGTACTAGGCTCGGTATTTTAAAATGATCTCACGTATTTACAAGAACCCTATGTGATAGAAATGATTATCATACCCATTCCACTGACATGAAAACTGAGGTGAGGACAGGTTAAATGACTTGCGCAGGGCACGGGCGGCAGAGCCAGGACTCAACCCAAGGGGTCCACACCCCGGAGCTCACCCCCTTACTGGCTGCACCTCACAGGCAAACTAGCTTTCGCCCACTGGAGCTTGAGCGGGGCTTAGTTTCACGTGGCATCTCCGTATTCAGTGCAACCTATCCAAATACATTCTGCTCCTGCCACTTCCGGCACATTTTTCTAGAGGGGGAGAGGGGTGGAAAACAAGCCATCTAGGACTGCGGGTTGCTGTCTGAATACAGCAGGTGAAGGCCAGGTCAACATGAGGTTATCTTTAGAAAGGGGACGGACACACACACACACACACACACACACACACACACACACACGGAATAACCAGTAAAGGAGATATACAATTTCTTCACCTGCATGGCACTGGAAGACACCAATTCCTTTAACTCCATTACAACAAGATGTAACTATTTTCTCTCTTTTTTACAGAATGAGGAACCTGAAGCTTGGAGCCCATCAGTTAAATGCCTTGTTCAAGGTCCCACAGCTGAATCTCAAACGTAATACCTCTTCTAGCTTCAAATGCCCCAAAATGCCCCAGTTCTCTTCAGTATTCCAGAACTGGAGCCCTGATGTTCTCCATAAATAGATTCTACTTCCAGAGATCAGTGATGGGGAAAAGGAGACGCGGAGGGAACTGGTTAGGAATAGAACAAGGTTTGGCCCCGCTGCATCGTGAGAGTCAACAGAAT